ATGGGTACCAAGTCACATCGGTTTACTGGGAAATGAGCAGGCTGATCGAGCGGCAAAGTATGCTGCTTCTGCTCCTCTAATTATGGATGATGTCATGGAAAAGTTGGATCTTCAAAGATACATTGGAAGAAAAGTTAAAGAGAAAATTGCAGAAGGAAATTTACAATACCATCATCAACACTACTCTTGCATTAACCCTCAATTAACTCCACCTCTATATCCAACAAATGTTGAGAAAACCAAGATCCAAACATTTTCGAGAATTCGCCTTGGTCATACAATTGCAACTCACCAATGGATCCTGAAGAAGTCTTCTCCCCCAATCTGCTGTTGTGGACAAACTCTTACTATAAAGCACATTCTCTGCGACTGCCTCAACCTTTCCTTGGCTAGAAGTATTGCATTTGGAACGATTAACCCTTTGTACATTCTACAATCAACTTCAGAACAGAATATCAATTCAATATTTTACTTTATTAATACTACTAAGCTTATTATCTAATATCCATTTTTTTAAATTAGAGCCGATAGCCTGTGTTGCTAGTGCTCAATGTCTCTTTTTTTAGTCTAAGAATTCAATTCATTAGTCTAAAATTAAAATAATAATAAGTTGGTTAAGTTGTACATAAGTAGGATCATGCAAGTCGTAACTGAGGTTGCAACTGCAGCTAACCTAAGCTAAGCATACACATAAGCATAGGACCTCAAAACTCATTTAAACCCATAGAACATGTTGGCAATAGGACAAGCGAGCGAGACTCAGGCTATAAAAGAGCGGTTGTAAGTATGGCTCTATGCTGGTTGTGTACGTGCTTTTTTCTCTTTTTTTTTTCCTTCTTATTTGTTTTATTGTACTTATACTAAGTTTTATTATTAATTAATATAAGTTTTGCATTAAGAGCCAATTGAACTCGACTGTTATTTGTTTAGTTGAGTTTCATGTATAAGTAGAATTAAAATAAATAAATAAATAAATAAATAAATAAATATAAAAAAACAATGCAAATATATATAAATAAACAAATAAATACATTTTTAAAGTAAGGCTACGATACAAGTTTTATGTTCTATTTGTTCAGTGTAAGTCAACATTCGCCAGGACATTGCACAAAGCGAAATTAAAGGAGCTGATGGAATTTGAACATCTTGGGGTAATCAAGTATATACATACGTAAATCTAGCGAAAGATCGCGATGTCCTAAAATGAAATAACGCTAAGGTTTAGATTGTATTTCCTGAAAAAAGCAAAAGCGTAGGACAGACCGTCAACTTATTCGCCCTTTATATGTTCAACAATTGAAACGTTGTGGGTCGATCAAGTTGAAGCTCTTCTACAACGTTAGTAGAAATATATATATATATCAATACGTTTCTGGATGCCTGCAGATGTAAAAATTCCATGCGTTTTTTTAGATTCAAATGAGTGGCAATTGCACTGCGTGTCGCAGTACTCCTTCAGCCGAAGGTTCTTCACTCTAGCACTGCCTTTTTAATATTTTACTACAAATAGTTCATTTTTATTAGTTAAATGTATCCTGATTAACTTCCTTGGAACTGTTATTCTACAACTTATCCTTTCATCCCAAAAAAATTATCAAAAATATGCTTTTTTTCTATGTTTTCACGTACAATTGATTATTACTCGTTTTTTACAGGAAAATTTGAATGCTTGAAGTGTCGAGTATTAGTGGCTATTAGTTAAAGAACAAGAAGACAAGTTAGAAGAAATCCATAAAAAACTGGACAAATGTGAAGGAAAAGGGCGCAAGCTTAATAAATTGATACACAATAAAGATGAAGTTAATAGCATCTTGACGCAGAAAATTGCGTATGTATATTATAAAAAACTTCTATAGGAAGAAGTAATTTAAGTATCTTATTAAAAATGAAAATTTTTTTATTTTTACAGAGAATCCTTTGAAGACATTCAAGTTAAAAACAAAGATTACTCTAATGTCAATCAATCGTTACTGAAAATACAAGGTCAACTCGACGAAATTATTAGAAAGCGTTCAGAAATTGAGATGAAAATGGAATCGTTAAAAAAGAAAAAATGGCGCCTGGAAAAACATATTGTTATAAAATTCGCATTTGTAAGATACAGTCCGTATCTTCGGGGATGACGATTAACAGCTACCCAGTACATCCCCTATCCGTAGAGTCATTTGTCCTAATAGTTCTTAAGGGATGACGACTAACAGCTAGCCAGTACATGCCCTATCCGTAAAGTCAAGAAAAAAAATAGACTTGTCGCATTGTCCGTACCAACTTACCCTCAAGCAGCTATGACACCAAAATGAAAGAATCTGTGCGATGTGCTGCTCAAGCCGCTATTGTTTTTAGCTTAGCAAATAATCGGTAGACACGCATAATAAATGTACATCAAATCTCAGTAAATTTATTGGTATCATTGTCATGATAACGTACATTAAAACCTAAATTTATTCATATCATTGTCATTATTTGCCTTTTTGTTAAGAAAGGAAGGTGTCATTTGAGACATAGTAAGAGGTATTTAAAAAAAAGATCCATTAGAGGTTCCAATGTTATTAAGCTTATCGGTGTGACTGACATCGACATTAAAGTTGCATTGAGAGTCATGCTAAATAATTGTACTAAAACTTAGTATATTTTGTGTTTGAATTTTACAAATTATTGAGTTATCTAAGTAAATTTCGGTAAATTCAATTAATTTGGATTGTGCTTTTAGTATTTCTTATAACTAATTTATGTATTATACGTACGCGATGAAAACTTGATTTTTTATTCCTTTATACATTTACGTTATTTTTTCGGAGGCCAAATAGTCTAGAACTAATTTTAAAGTAAAAATTTTCATTTTCACTCAATTAGTTTGTTCGGTTTGTACCTATGTTAAGTTAGCATTAACCAAATCTTATATTTATTTATATATATGTATTATTTGTTTAAATTTAGCTCTTAAAAATTCTTTCTTCCTGTAATGACGGTGCCAATTTTACGTGAAAAAGGTTTTGAAATTAAAGCTCTTTGGGGACGAACCGTAAAAGAAGCGGAAGAGTTTTCATCATCCCAAAATATCGCTTTTTTTACCAACAAAATTGATGATGTTTTATTACGAAAAGACGTGGATTTAGTGTTTGTTATTATTTGTTATTATTATGACCTTTTTAATATTGGCTTGTGCTGTGCCACAACCGAAGATTTTTTATCCCTTCTTTGTTTTAATATTCTACGTACTTTCCCTGATACCAATGATGCTGGCGAAACGCTTGTCACCCGGTTCTGAAACAAATCCAAAAACCGAGTTCGCGTTGTTCCTAACCTCGGGAATGGTTCATAGTTTCAATTGTGGAAATCAAATAAGAAGATGACTTAAAGAACACTGCAATTCCTCTAGGAACTGCTGATGAAAAAAAAAGGGGAATACAAAGCCGTAAAATATTGAGAATGTTGAGCTGCCACGCCCATAACAGCCCCTTTGGGTCCGCGGAATACAATTGGGACATTGATCTGCCCCCCCGACATGTAGAACGTTTTAGCCGCTGAATTAATAACCTTGCATCAAATTGTTTAAAGATATAAAAATCGTAAAGTATTTAGAGATCTCAATTACAACCGTGCAATAATATATATTTTTTTTTTCAGACGAAGGAACATATTGTGGAAAAGTATGGCGGTGAAGAACATTGAAGAACATTTGCAAGCACCACCTAAATCGCTAAATCGCTACTGTTGGCCCAAACCGAAGATTATATAGAATATTCGTGTAGCGGCAAAGGAATGGAAAAACCAAAAGCTCGTAGTATATAAGGATATTATCTTAGTAATATATAAACTGGGATTATTTGGGAAAAATGAAAATCTCGTATTAATCTATTGTTAATTATTTTGAAAAATTGAAAAATTTGATGTTAATTCTTTCCATACAAGTGCTTGATATATAATATATAATCTTTTTTATATAAATGTATAAAAAATATGCATTCATCTCC